CTCCTGTCCGCAGGCCCCTTGTGCTGACCCTACAGCGGAGGCGGGGGATAGCAAGATCAACGCACAGCTCTCCTACCTGAGCTGGGCTCAGCGTTGGCCATACCCCAACGAGTGTAACAGTCCTCCATGCAGCCTCCCTGGAAGATGGAAGAGCAAAGAAGTAAGCCTTAAAAAATATACATGTTTTGAGCAGTCATTAGGCAGATATTGTGAGAAACTTTTTTAGGAATCAGGTCTTCATTTAACCTCTTTTCCCAGTCAACAAAATGAAATTTCTGTGCCAGAATGAATGGAAATGTCTTTTCAGCTATAGCATAGAAAAGATTAAGTAGCTAACTTACAAGTAAGGTACATTTTATCCTCTCTGTGTCATGAGTGGTGATAGTTGGAAATTTGGTATCTTCAATGTTGTTGAAGAATGATGCCTTACTTCTCCTCAGTGTTATTACAGTGGAGATATCTTGCTTTATCTTGCATCTGTTAAGAAACAGATTAATTAATTTTTTTTTACCTAAAAGGCCTTATTTTTTCCTAAATAGATTAGTTTAGTTGTGGTACTGCTGTACTGACAGCATTCGTTATTAAAAAAAAAGAGAGAAATGTGAGCTAATAGGAAGTGGGGGTTATGTAGGCTCAGCTGAATATACTGGAAAGTATGGGTCATCTCATGACAGCTTCATGCTTGAGGGATGGTAAGAAATGACCTATGTAAAAAAAAATAAAATTTCCTCACACAGCTTGTTTCATTTGAGTGCTCTTCAGCTAGATCTTGACAAAACGTGAGATGACTATTTGAAAGTGGGATGACTACTTCACCACAACACTTTCTCACACAGTGCTCCCACTGATAGCCGCTGTAGTACTTACTTGTATAAATTTTTAAAAAGTAGCTACAACCATTTTAATTTCTCACCTCCTCTCTTACTTGTCCATTCTGCACCTCTTGCAGTGCTGTGCAACTGCTCTGAAGTGGAGAACCTTACCAGTTCCAGGGAGGAGAGGATTGAAGGTAGTACAATTTGGATTTATGGAGGGAAAGGGGAAAGTAGTATATATTTGGCACCACTTACGGTGTGAAAATGATAACCAGAAGACAATAGTTTTGCCTTTTATGGTGTATGTAGAAGCTGTTAGTCAGCAGCACTACAGATCCTTCATAGGAAACACTCGCCCAAGTATTTTTTTCTGGCAGCTAGCGTAAGTAGCCCTGGCCTTGGCTTCTTGTTTCTTGCTCTAGCGTCATTCCTCTGTGCTGAAAAAAGAGAGATATGGCCACAAGGATCCTATAGGGGGAAAAGAAAATCCTTTCAGAGGAAATGGCCTTAGCCAGGTTTGGAACTATTGCCACCAGATGCCAGTCGACATGCTGAGTCATCAGCTGGTAAGATCATTTTGAATGCTGACAGGGTAGATGCATCCTGTGTCTCTTCGTTCCCTGTCGTCCTGGCTGGAGTTGACAATAGCAGCATTAACAACAGAGAAATTAGTGATGTGTACATCTGTCTTGTTTGAAATGAAAATTATACTATGAACTTCATATGCAATCTTTGCTTCTCCATGCAAAACCAAGTTTTTGCTGCTAAAGTTTCGGGGCACTCCAGCATGAGAACTGGGGAAGCATTTCCAAGGTGAGTGGTTTGAGCACTACGTGTAGTAGCATATGTTTTATTTCCTTTTCGCCTATGTAAGATTATAACTGATGAACCAGAAATTAAAAACTGTGTTCTGTCACCCATCGTCTGAAGTAATCTCTCCATCGGTACTATCCAGACTTTCAATACATTTACTATGTATTGAAATATATGAAAACAGATAAGAAATAAGGACAGCAGTTTTAATCTGCAGTGGTGGAAATTCTTACTAGAATTTCCAAATGTGTATTTTTAAACACCAAGATTAAATATACTTATTTCTTGATATTTTAAATTTGTGATACTGTCATGCACAGCAAAAGGATGGAAGTGGCACAGGGCAGATGTTCTCTCTTGGAGCAGTAGTGTAGGTTTCCAAAAAGTGTTGTGGGCATTTTTTTGTAACAGGACTTTGACTTTCCACTTTTTTAATTTCTGTGACTATAAAAGCTCGTGAAATGATGATTAGTGCCAAATCAGTTGTTTTACAAGTTAAAGTACTTTCAACATTTCCTGTTGATAATAGATATTATGCCCTTAGCTGCTGGAGACATAAGCAGCTGAAAAGATTGTTACTTTCTTCACTGTTGTCAGGATGCTTTTGAAAAGAACCATAGACTCTGTACTGCCATAGCATTACTTAGGTTCTGGTGTCTTGGGCAACAGAAGTCATTCTCTGCTAAGTGAAAAATTAAGGAAATACTTTTCTACTAGCCTTACAAGAATGCAGTATTGCATGCAGGTGTCACCCTAGCACATTTGCCAACCGAGATTTGCTGTCTGAAAGTGGAATGTGAAACTGGTATGGTGACAGTGGACTCTACCTCTGTAAATGGACTAGGAAAACAGGTTTACTTACTCCTTTGTGCTTGATCATTGAAGAAGAGAAACATTAACCATGAGAGAGAGCCTGTTCTCTTTTCTGGCGTGGTCTGTTGACACACTGAACCATATTCCCTTTTCAGAGTCCTTCCCAAAGATGCACTGCTAATGTTTCAATAAAAGCTTTCATGAATGGGCTTAGTACCTCCAAGGTACATACACTTGGAAGAGAAGAAGTTCTGAACTAGTAGCTTATAAAACATTTCTTTAAATAAAATGTTCTTTATAAATATTTCTAGGGGAGGAAGGAGGCACAATATAAAGGGTGTATTAATTATTGCAACTGATATCACTTGGTGAACAAAATTTATGAAACTGCTTTTATCTGAAAATATTTTGAACATTTTTTTCCCAAGAGAACATACAAAAAATATTGATGGGACAGGATAGTTAGCTTGTGTAGCTAAGGGAGGTTACAGCTATAAAAAATTTTCCAACTGTCTTTTGTTTAATAATATGTTCAGTTCATTCAGTTGAAAATATTCTGCTGTGTCACTTCTATGAGTTTCAGTGGTGATTAATTTATAGTGGGACTAATTTGCTGGTGTTTGGAGCCTCTACAGAACCCTTTGTAGACGTGCCTGGAAAGTTACTTGAAGGAGCATCATGGCCACTCCAGTGCGTCACTTGACTTGTTTCACTTTCATTATTAGGTTTAGGAATAGACTTCTGAAGGTTTAAGCCTGCAGAAGACAAGAGCTGTCCTGGCTGGTTTTTCAGAAGTGCCTCCCAAGGAAATGAGTGGGAGCCTTTGAACAGCCCACTAGGAGCTACTTGTGTTTTTAGACTTCTTGGGAGCTGTACAGGTTTGTAAACGGAAATTTGCATTTCAGGTGATTTGAAGACATTTTGGACACAATTGGGAGGTAGAAGAGTGGACGTCATATTTGAGCAGGTGCAAAATGTGCTGCTGCTGCTAAAGCAAAAGATCAAGAATGGAACTGCCACTAACCAAGGTTTGAAATCCTTGTAACGGTTAAGCTGGACTGCAGGGGAGCTGTGCCCTGCTTTGTGTAGGGCTGTGTGATATCTGCCACAATTCAGATATCTCTGAATTTAAATGACTTAGTAGTTGGTGTTTTAAAGCACTTTAAAATATATATCTGCTTTTTAAAAGGAGCCTAATCATTTCAGGTGCATTTTGCCATTTTCTCATTTTGCCTGTATACTTTTTTCAAACAATGTGTGGCTGTTAAGCACATGGAACTGAAATGCTTATTCTTGAGAAGTAATGAAATACTTGCAGTGCCTTGTGTTTTGTTTATCATCAGAAGTTTTACCCTTTCAAGCTGATCTCAGTGAACTGGAGGGTTTTGGGGTGGGATTATAATCATATAAGTATTATTTCATGTTGGAGATGCCATTATAACTTGAAACATTAATAGAAAAATGTGACACCAATGTATTTAAGATTGTTCCTGATTTTCATGGAAATAAGTTTCCTTTGTCTACATCAAAATCAGAAGTCTGATAAGCTTGAAACTGTACACAGGTTTCTTTTTACTGGTTTATTTAATTCAGAAAAAATACTTTCTTTTTTTTTGTCACCCACATAAATGTAATCTATGGATCATACTGCTTTTTTTATGCATAAAAAATGTACAGTAGTGCAAGATGCTTTTAAACTGGCATAGCCACATGCTGTACATTGTATTACTTGCTCTAAATTGGTAGTGCACTTTTTTATGTACTGGGGATCCCACATCTTGATTTTTATGACAGAATATTACAGTGGTGCATAGATAAAAATTAAACTTGAATCCCCAGATGACACAATCCATGACATAGTTAAATTTGAATTTTTCTATGCTTTGTTCTGTAAAGATTTCAAACTAAAATAGTAACATGTATTTTGCTGACATTTGGCTGCCACCTTGTAATATTTATTGCATGGGGTAAGAGTTTAAGACAGAACTGATTTGTTCTTAGTGTTCTTACTATCTGAAGGCCATTTCCACCAATTTAGGAGTAGCATTCATTTGCTCTGCCAAGATCCAACTCTTCTTAGCAGGAAGATGACTAGTCTGATGACAAAGTAAAGAGAGAAAGTTACACTGAATTGTGTTTATTTATATTACTGCCACTGGAGGCCACTGGTTTGTGTATGTGTGTTTGGAAACACTCTAGCAGCTTTCCAAAAGCCAGAGGATATTCAGTATTGATTCACAACTACTAATATGAGCTGTAATTTTATTGTATTTTGTAGATGTGTCTATCATGGACTGTGGTGCAAAAGGTTTCTAATAGTATGTCTTGCAATACATTAGCATAGTGAGGAAACAAGTGTCTCTGGAGGACTTAGACCTTGTTTTCCCTGTTATCATTGTCCCTATTATCATTACTTAAATTACATTCATATCTGTTTTGTTTTGGTTTTTGCATAGAATGCTGGCAGGCTTGGGCACTAGTGAATGAAGCTAATCTAGGTGATCTCTTAACCTTGACAAATGGTATGTGCATCTCGGTTGTATTTATTTGGTATATGGATTTAATTTGTCTTGTTTTACTCACCAGGACCTTATTTCTCTTTGTTGAAATCAATAAAATAGATCTGAGAAGCATTACAAGGGAAAAACCGTAATTATTAGTTTCCTCAGGTACTGGATTGTGGACTCTCACCTGGGTTGGTACTTTTGTGGGTTATGTGAATGTGTATATGGCTTCTACCAAGTGAAGAGAGTTTCAACTAGTAAGCCCAGATGAATCCGAGCTGGCTGCAAGCAGAGTCATCTTGTGCATGGCTCCACTTGCTGTAATACCCTGGCGTCCTTTTACCTCAAATAATGAAGAGAAATCTGTATACGTTTCATACGTCTACATGCACTTTGAAAGCTACATGGAAGATTTTAACGTTCAAATCACCTGGTGGTCTGTGAAAAAGGGTCTGTCTTCATGATGCATTTCTGCTTCAAGTTTGTCAATGCACACCTAAGCTTTTCTCCTTTGGGGAAAGTGAAGGAGAGGAAGAGCAGGAAAGAAAGTGTGAGAGTGTGTGTTTGTGTGTCAGCTAGTTGCTCTCTTGCACGCCTATATGCAAACACATGACTTTTGTATAAATTACAAAAAGCAGCAGCTTTTTTCAGTAGGGCACTTGCTAGCATGCTCTTTGTTAGCTGTAGTTCATAGCAATGCATTGTTTTTAAGGTATTTTGGCAATTATCTGTTTAGTAACTAAAGTAAGTTTGATTATAAATTGAAATGTAGATTGCTGAAGTTTTTGCTTGCATTCAATTTTTTCCAGTAAGTGATGAGTTTGATGGAGATGGCATACAGGAAGCCAAACCCAAATTGCAGCATCTTCCTACATATCACAACACTGCAAACTCTATAGAAGGTTCTCACAGGTCAGTGTATTTAATAGTTTATTCCAGTTCCTTATTTAACGTATTCTTTAGTGCATTTGAGAGAGATTTTAGTCTCTCTCTTGTATTTCTAAATTCAACGTTTTAAACCCAGTTTTGAATCCTGCCAGTTTTCAAAGTGAAAATATTTTTAACTTGACCTACATGGAAAACCTGAGGTTTTGAGTAGACTTGTCTAATTTACCGTGGGAGAACATTGCAGAATAAAACAGGTCATTAGGTTGTGAATAAAGATCCATGAGTATTATCCCCGATAGGATTATCGGGGTTAGGACTTAACAAGTTTTGAATTCAGTTCACAGACTGCAGATTGTCAGGCACATGACTTAGTCTCTCTGTATTTAGCCTCAGGTACTGATTTGGAAGATGGGGGTAAAGATACAGTTCCTTTCTTTTTCTTTCTTTTTTTTTTTTTTAATGTCCTTTCTGTGATTTTAGTATGTAAGTTCTTTCTGGGAAGAAGCTGTTGCCTCTTTTTTTTTCTTTTTTCTTTTTTTTTCTTTTTTTTTTCTTTTTTTTTCTTTTTTCTTTTTTCTTTTTTCTTTTTTTCTTTTTTTCTTTTTTCTTTTTTCTTTTTTTCTTTTTTTCTTTTTTCTTTTTTCTTTTTTTCTTTTTTTCTTTTTTCTTTTTTCTTTTTTTCTTTTTTTCTTTTTTCTTTTTTCTTTTTTTCTTTTTTTCTTTTTTCTTTTTTCTTTTTTTCTTTTTTTCTTTTTTCTTTTTTCTTTTTTTCTTTTTTTCTTTTTTCTTTTTTCTTTTTTTCTTTTTTTCTTTTTTCTTTTTTCTTTTTTTCTTTTTTTCTTTTTTCTTTTTTCTTTTTTTCTTTTTTTCTTTTTTCTTTTTTCTTTTTTTCTTTTTTTCTTTTTTCTTTTTTCTTTTTTTCTTTTTTTCTTTTTTCTTTTTTCTTTTTTTCTTTTTTTCTTTTTTTTTTCTTTTTCGAATGCCACTGAACATGTCTTCATATGATGTTAGGACAGTAATACAAAGCAAACAGTGATTCAGTGAAACCTTTGCACTTTTAGCAATGGGCTGTTTCTCTCCTGCACTGTTAATATTGAACCACTAAAAATCTGAGCATTTTACTGGTTGTCTGAGATGCTGCTCTTTTTTCTTTTTTTTTAATTCCAAATAGCGAAAAGGAGGAGATGGAAAAAACAGGTCCAGGGATTAAAGAAGCATCTAGTAAAATTCAAGATTTACCTTTAAACCTGCAGTATCAGAACCACAAGTGCTCTAGTGCATGTCTTGCCAACAGAGCAGCGGGCTTCTACAGGGGTGAAAATCCTCTAAAGATACCGATCCTGTTTCACTTTCAAAGACGCCATGCAAAAGCAGACTGCCTTTCAAAATCACTGGATGTGAATTATAAAGCTCCTTGTGGTCGAAGTCTGAGAAGCTTTCAAGATGTGCAAAATTATTTGTTTGAAACAGAGTGCAATTTCTTATTTGTTGATCACTTCTCCTTCAACACATACGTACTGTTGGGCAGGAACACCGTAAATCCCGAACCCCTTGTGTTTGATTTTGATATTAGCAATGGAGCCGAGTCTGTGCCCATTTCCTTCTGTAATGATCTTGACCGTGCAAGATTACCTTATTTCAAATATCGGAGGGCATCGTGGCCACGTGGATATTATCTCAACAATTTCTCCAGCATGTTTGTAGATTCATGTGACTGCACAGATGGCTGCATTGATAGGTAGGTAGAAAAATCTAATCCCAGACAAGAGATGCATGATGCCTCAATAGTAGGGTGGTGGTGTAAGTGTGAAGGCGCGCAGTGCCAAACAGTGCCAAATAACGAAGGACCAGCACTGCTGGAATTTCTGTGGTACTTGTCTTGTGCCATGCTCTGTGTTGACTGACACCACTGTGTCTTTGTCTTCTCCAGAACTTGGGTGCTCCTACCCGTCCAGCCTCTGTTGTAGGGAAGGAAGCGATCAACAGGTGGATTATTGTGTGCCTTTCCCTTTCTTCCCAAATTGGCAGTGCTTCTCCTCCAGGTGGAGCTGGCAAGCAGATCTCTCGACTTTGGGAAAGGGGTGGGGAAAGGAGAGTCTTGTGCCAGCAGAGGAAGGCTCGTTTTCCTGGCAGGCAGGGAAGGATCCTGCGTGACAACTGCTGCAGCTCCTGCTGTGGGATGGTGTCCTAGAGACGGGATGGGTCAGGACAGCCTGGAGAGATCAGATCGTTTGGAACTTAGAAGGTTACTGAGGGCAGAGGAGGAAACGTCCCTGTTCACAACCTCTACGTCCTATCCTTCCCCTTGTCTAAACAGAAACTATGAAACCCTGTGGTCACAGAACACATTTATGTTTGGAGCAGTTCAAATGATGTTGCTTATTGCTGTCTTTTTCTAAAGCCCAGTAACTCTGGGCGACATATTACTCTGTGGGAACCCGCCACAGTTAGCATATGCAAGTTTGGTGATAATTTTGTCTGCTTTCTTGGGTGTTTGTCTGTGACCTGATCTCTGCCTGTAGGTGTTATTTGGTGTTGAACCCATTTTGTGTTATTGATAGCTAGGGCAGTTCCATGTGCTGGTGTGCAGTGTAATTGCCCGTGACCCAACAAGAGCTTGAAATCACAGCCTAGTATAATGAAACTTGAGTAATTAAAGTTACTTAGTTTCAGCTGAGCAGCGGGGAACAGCAAGCACATAGCATGCTCCTTCTTTCCACTGAACTCCCCCAAGATTTGAGATACTTTTGATGTGCGGTTTTGGGGTTCAGGATTTGGTTCGTTGCTGTTTGCACAAACGCTGTGGGTCTTTGGAGTTGTCATGATAGAAGATGGTGAAGACCAGCGTTATTGCTTGAGTTCTCCACTCCGCAGTGTGAAATTCTTCGCTTCTTGGGGGCTAGGGTGGGAGGAAGGTAACAAAGTAGTGGCTAACAGGCCGGGATGCTCTGCCAGAACAGGTGATTTTCATTCATTCATTCAATCCATTTGGCAGTGTCCCATTTATAATAAATTTCTGTTGTACTTCAGCTGTTTGCATGTGCCTTTTACAGAGCTTGACAGAAGAATGGGGTTGGGTTGGAGAGAATGTGGTTATTGCAAAGCACGCATAACCAGGCAAGAGACAAAGACAAAGGTAGAGTGCCTGAAATGGCCTTGTGGACTAAAAATGTGTGTGGGGAAATATAGGTACATATAAAATGTGTGTGTGTGTATAGGCAAGTACATTTTAAATTATCTAGATTTATGTTTGATTTATGCTGCCCCAAATATATTCTGAGATGTTTTACTGTTATTTTTTAGGTCAAAATGTGCATGCCTACAGCTAACTGCAAGAGGCTGTAGTAAAATTTCTCTGTCTCCAAGTAGTAAAAAGTCCCGTGGATACAGTTACAAAAGACTGGAGGGACCTGTTCCTAGTGGGTAAGAAAAACCAAACTATTATTTTATTTGTAGCTCTTACTTTACTCCTGTAGTGTAAGTGCTACAGGACTAAAAAAACCTGCGGTTTCTGGATTACTGAAACCTTCTGGTTTTGTCACAATTTTACTGAGATCAGGATGATAAAAAATAATTAATGTGACTTGAGTAATAGGAGGAAAAAAACACTTTTGTACTGCAGATACTACAATTTTCACAGCTTAGTTCAAGGTCCAAGAAGAGCGTGAAGAGTAACATAGTATTCACTGGTCCAGGAGCTCAGGCCATATCTGGCCCATGTGCTGGTTCATTCAGGCATGCCAAGGGGTGGAGGGAGAGGGGAAGGAAACCTGCCACAAGGGGAAGGGGCCTATCATAAGACCATCCACAGTATTTATCAGCCAAAGAAGTGGGAAGCAGTAGCCAGCCTTGGGTTTTGCCCTGTATCTTGTCCACCCATTTACTCTGTAGGACCAGAATCCTAAAGAAATATCAGCCAGCTGCTGTTGCCAGACTTGGTAATGTGTGGCTCTTCCAAGAGTCTCCAAAGCCATCCAAGTACTGCAAGTGTTCATCCTTTCTCTTAGCTCCTGTGGATTAATGCGTGGCCTGGGGAAGGTGCCAGTAACCTCAGGTGTTTAGGAGAGGAATTTTGCAAGGTCGCTTACGGCAATAGCCAAGGGCTGAACCCACAGGCTTAAGGAGCCCCTTTCAGTCCTTTGTTGCTGTGCGATGTTAGTTTGTGGTTGGTGTGCAGAATTAAAGCTGCCAGTGAACCCAGAAACAAATGCAAAAAAAACCCCAAACCCACAATTACGAATTCTTTTAGAAATATTTTGTTAAATCCTAAAACTCATGACAGCTACAGTGAGGTCCAGGCAGACGGATTGTCTTTGCTAAAATCTGTTCCAGCAGAAAATGAGGTGCTTCATAGGGATTTCTCCTTCTGTGCAATTTACTCCTATAAAATAAAAAGGTAGCATTTATTTTTTTCTTGACTACTTATACACAAATCTGACTGGCAGACTCTTAAAATTGATGAATTGGCAATTAAGAAAGTCATGAGCTTTCTTGAGCACTGGTGTACAATCAGTTTTTATCTTTCCAGTCACCTGCCTTATTAATGCTCAGGAGAGAAATTAATAATAGTGACTTTGTTTTGGTAATGCATTCTTTTATATTGTGTTTTGTTTTGCTTCCTCTCGACAGAATTTATGAGTGTAGTGTGTTGTGCAGGTGTGACAAGATGATGTGTCAGAACAGAGTTGTACAACATGGCATTCAAGTCAGGTTGCAAGTGTTCAACACAGAGAAGAAAGGCTGGGGTGTCCGCTGCCTAGATGATATCGACAAGGGGACATTTGTTTGTACTTACTCAGGTAACAGAAGGTCACCTGTGGAAGATGTATAGCATAATTCTCCCTCTTCTGTGGCCTGTGCCCTGGAATTTTTTTGAGAACTAAACAGGGAAATAAGAGGTTGGAAGAGAAGTGAGTCGATATAGCCTTAACTTGCCAGATTGATCAATGGACAGAAGAACATTGAAGAAGTCCACGTTGCGATGGGGCCAGAAAAACAATGAAAACATTCTGGAGCAAAGCTTATCTCAGACTGTGGATTTTTCCCTCACAAGTCTGTGCATCTTGTGCCAGGGCTTGTTTTCCTTCAGTATAAATGTATTCATATTTTGCTTTCCCAAATAATGTTCTTGTATTTCTTATGTAAGTTTGAGCTGTGATAGTGAGCGTGACCTATCTCAACAAACAAACAATTTAAAAAAAAAAAACTTTTCTTTTTCTTCCAGGCAGATTAATGAGCAGAGCTGATGTTCAAATATTGGGAGATGCTGGTCGACAGCTGAAAGAGAAGAGTGCTGTGAATGACAGAAACCACGGGGTTTTTTCCAAAAAAAGAAAACTTGACACTGATTGTTCGGACTCTGTGATTGAACTAGTGCAGACTGGCAAAAATGACATTCTTGAGAAGCAGGAATCTTTGTCTCAGACTGTGGATAATGAAAAAAAATCAACAGTGTAAGTTTACTTAAGCATAACAAAACTAATACTCTGCTACTCTAGAAAGTCCTTTGTAAAACTTAGAGTGGAGCTGAATGTCCTCAGCTGAGGGTGGGGGGTTTTTTTCTTTCTCAACTTTTTTGTTGTTTCCTGATTATTTCTTCTAGTGGGACAAAGTTTTTCCTCTATATTAATTTTACTTACTGTGTGTACCACTTGGCATTTTCTAGAAATCCAATTCATTTCCTGCGTGCACTTGATCTGTTCAGGGTGTTAATCATCATGCTAATTTGAAAGAATTAATAAAAGATGCTTTAAAGATACTTGATGACACTGAAGGATTTGATAACAAATTAGCCACTAACTGTCCTGTCCTTTGCTCCCAGTCTCTAAACCTCTTGTTCTTTGTAACATAACCTTTCTTGCTAGGAGTCTTAACCTTTCCCATTAGGAGTCTGACAACACCTCACTTTTGCAGTGAATTATGCAAAAGTTTTCATTTTACAGTCAAGGTCTCATAGCCTGTCAGGATTCCTAAAATAAAATTGGTGTGAAATAACCCTGTAACTTTGTCAATAGCATGCTGTAGACTTTCCAGAAGGAAGTCAGGAGCTTGTTTTCTTAAACTTTATTCCTTGGTCTGTGGCACTACTTTGTAAACATTTTCTTTGTACTACTCATAAATGATTGCAAATTCTTGCTCGTTTCGTAGTAGAAAATTATTGTGGCTCTTTGAGAAGCATCATGAAATTGCAAATGCAAACTTTTTAAAATACCTGCCAGTATATTCTCACTTGCATTTCAGTATCTTGTAAACCTAATGAATTCATAATTTTGTAAATTACATAATTAACAGCAATCAGCTAGATTTTACTTCTACTAAGTGCCATTACTAAAAATTGCAGGGAAGCAGAGTTTTAAAGCTGTGTTTACTGCACCGCTACCCTAAATCTCATAAATTTCCTTTCTTGAGAATGGAAATGTTTTGCATATGGACTGTGTTTAAAAAAAAAAAACCAAAAAAACCAAAAAACAAACAGACAAAAAACCTTTGTTATTCTGCCTCTTAAGAAATGACAATCCAGCTGAACTGGGAAACCTTTGAGAGCACATGAGTGGGCTAAGCTTACATATCATTTACCCAAACAGATTGCCTTTAAAAGGACAAACAATGTAATCATAATAATGTCACAACTTCTTGTGGCTACTGCACCTTTTAAATTTACAAAGGGGTTTAAATCTTAAGAAACCCTTGAAGAGTAGCATTTTTTGCTATTATCAGTAGCCCAAAGAAGCGCCTTGAGGTTTTTCTGTGTCAAGAAAACACATAGAAATGTTTTACGGTGAAAGGTTTCTTGAATAAGAGCTGTTACTTATTGCTAGACATTGTGCAGTTATTAAGATTAGTTTTGAAACTGGTGTTCTCTACTGCACTCTGAACGTAATCCAAATGAATGTGATTTTAGATGTTTTAAATGTATATGCCAAATACCACTTCCCATCCTTCCACAAGCTTCTCCTGATGTGAAGGAGTGAGATTCTTTTGTGGGAGAGTATTTTCTCTATCTGCCATATATTGCCTGTCTCCCCCTCTGCTTCCCTCTCTATCCCTTGTCCCTGCAACATCTTTGCTTTCCTGTTTGCAAGCTGCACTGTCAAAACTGTTGAAAGTGGTAACAGGAAAAAGGCAAAACTCTTGTCTGTAGGTGCTGTATTTTGAGATAATGTAATAATAGTAAAACAATACAGAATTTGGTTCTTAGCAGGGGAACTGGGAAAGGATGTAAAAGCAGCAGCTAATCTCTCAAAAAAGTATGAACTGGGTTTTTTTACAAATACTATTGAGAACCGAACCTAGTCTTAAAGGCAAAATAGTTACAGAACTTGGGGCAAGGCCAGACTACAGGCTCTAGTGTAGTCTGTTCTATATGAACTAGAGACTGTTAGAGAAATGTGAGTTGTGAGGGTTACTTATGGGTCTTTTTGTCTTTTATAATTTTCTTTTGACCTTTCTGTACAGGGTTCATCCAAGAAATTTAAGTATTGCAACCACGAGAAGGCCTGGAACTAGAACTGGTTTTTGTAATCACCAGCTAAAAATGGTAATAATAATAGGCTTTAGCAGATTCATTTTTCACTGTGCTGAATATGTATGTTAATTTTGACCTTTTCACCTTACACATTTAAATAGTTCTAACGATCTTTCTTCATGAGATTGTGTCACACTGCAAGCTAAGCTGGCATGCTGGAAGCTATTCCCCTTCTCCATTACCAGTCCTTCAACATGTTCCCTGAGACCGGCACTGACTGCTCTCACAGCCTTCCTTTCTCCACCCTTCGCTTACACTGCAGCCTTGAGAGTCTCAGAAAATCATTCTCCCCCTCCACCCCCTGTTGTAACTAACTGCAGGGTTAGGGGGTCAGAGTGATAATATTTTTGTGATGTCTCCTCAAAGAATGACATAGCAGGGAAGGAAGAAAATCTCAGGAGCTGGACGCAGTTTTCTCGTGCAGTGGCACAGTTGGGAGAATTTGATCTGACCTGGGTGTGAAGTGTTGCCTGCAAATATGTGCAAAGGAGGAAAACTGGGGTAAACTTACTCTCTAGGTTTTATTGGTTTCATTGCACTTAAGAAATGCATGTGGGATTTTCATGCTAACATTTGGCAGTGCTGTCCATTCTGGACCTTCCATAACTAATTGCCTTTTTGTGGTGGGAGAGGAGAAATCCTGCCATATCTGTTTTATTGAAACCATGTAAAAAGCATGTTTGGGCTTTGGTTCAGCAACTTAGACAAACATGTTTAAATTCTGGTGAAATTGTTGGGACTTAAGCATTTATTTAAATGTTTTATTGAGTGGGGAGCTCCTTCCAGGGTATGCTGAAGGATAATTTGAAATCAAGATAAATGTTGCATTGTGGTAAATGTATGAACTTTTGAAACTCAGCTGTAGCCATGCATTACAGTAGGTTTGAAACTTCAGCCCTAGAGTCCTAAAAGCCACTTGCTATCCTGTGTTAACCCAGAGTTACATACAGCACCAATACATCACAGCATTTTCATTATCTTTTATTCTGTTTAAAGGAAATTGATACACTGGTGCACAGTGCCAGCTCAGATGAAGATAATAGTTCTCAGATTCATCAGTCAAGCAAAACAAAACTAACCAGTGGAACAAAGAAAGGAAAAGAAAGTAGGTTCAACAGAGCTATAAATACTGCACTCTTAGTATGCTTGTGCCCCATCAGGTGATAGACTTAAAATGTAGAAAGTGATCTTTGGATGTGGGCAGGCCTATTCTCAGAGTAGAATGATGTTGTCCCCATAGGCTTAGGCTGTCTTAAGAGAGCTCAGCGGTACAGAAATGATTGCTGCCTTGCATATTGCAGCACATTATAGTACAGGGCAATCTTTTGCCTGCAAAGTTGATGTTGGGATATGTCGAACAGTCCTGACAGCAGCTTCTCAAATACAGTGCAATTGTGGGAAAGTCAGTCTTGCAAGTCTTATCGTATCACACCCAATACCTGTTCCAGTCAACAAAAATTGAACAGGATACAATGGGGGAGTGTGGGGCGTATGGGTCTCAGGCTTGAGAGGCAGCATGAAACTGATGCTATTTGCATGTGCATCTTGCTTTTGTCTTAAGTAGAGTTTGTGATTTTCTCAGGAATTAAGGTGGAGAATGATGATAACATGCTATGTGGAAGAAATCAATCTGGAGTGGGATTTGAGAAGAACGAGAGACTAGATCACTCAGAGGAAACTTGAGCAAGTGCTTTAGGCGCCACAGCAGGGAGGATTAATGGAAAAGGGAAGTTGTGTTATAGACTTGTGAATAGCAAGGAAGCTGAGTACATTTTGGAGAATGAAGGGTGGGTGGGTAAGAGTTCAGTGCCAAACGAGGGAAAGGCTTTGGCCTTAAACTAGTGTTGAAAAATAACTCAGGTGTCCATTGACAGAATCCACTCAGCAGCAGAAGGAAGAACATCCAATGGAAATTGGACGGACTGAGTCCACTGAAGTGGATGGTGCAGAATGCAAAAGAAAGAGTCTGTCTCTGCATAGTGTTGGTTGTGGCAAGTCAAGTGTGCTAGATGACACGTGTGTGGTGAGGCCGCCCAAAAATGTACCACTAAAAACTGACTGCAAAGAGGAAAATCACAGGCGGTCAAAACAAGATGCATTTTGTGAGGAGGCTGATCATGACAGGATGCTTCTGAAGAATGCTAACGAAGAAAATATTTATGTACTGGATGCCACAAAAGAAGGAAATGTGGGTCGTTTTCTTAATGTAAGTTAAAAGTTGCATGTGTTCTCTTAGTTGTCTTATGCAAATACATCATTTATTTATTTTAAATAAACTAGAAGGCTTTTGCGTGTAAACCATATATGTGGTAGGTGCATGACAAGGCAGGCTATATGGTGCTCCCTGCACTCAAGTGACACAACAGCAGATTGGATCACACCGGCTGTTAGTGCCTCCATAAGATGATGTGTGCTACGTACTCGCTGTAGTTTTTGGCACCACTAGGTTCCTGAGTGAAATATTTGCGTTATGAGACATCTTTCTCCTGAATTTTTTAACAGGTTTTTGCGGGGCATCCAGAGAGAAAATGACACATTTTGTTGAACCACAAGCCTTCTGCCAGCCTTGTTTTTTGTTCCCCAGCTATTATAAATTCTGCTTTGTGCTGACTTAGGATGTGTTGTGATATTGTAGGAAATTTCTCTACCATTCAGTCATAGGTTCAGAAAGTGGTCTATTGTACTGTGTACATATCTGCTTTATAAGTCTCTCAATTTTGACTTGCCAAGAAATAGTAATGGATTATCATGTGCCTCCAACTAAGACGAGTGGTTCATAGAGATGTCTACATGTACTCTGCAAGTAACTTGTTTCTCTTCATTGGCATGAATGTGTCTTACGGCAAAATCCTTGCGTATGTTTAAGCTGTTCTTCATTGCAGAGGTGATATAGTGTTAAGATTAGTAATGCATCTTACTGAAACCTTTCTTCTGCATCCATGAGCTTACATGTTTCCTACGTGCACATGAATGACATTTCACGTCTCGTATCTCTTTGCCAACTTATGGAATCATTCAATCTATTGCTTGCTACCTAGCACTTGCTCCTCTGGCTGACAGCGAGATACATCTGTCACATACTGATTATTTGTGGTGCATCCTGAATCTAAGATGAATTCTCACCATAAATTTCTGGAGGACAGCTTGATGAAAGAACTTGTTTTTCCTAGGCAAAAGTACTTTCATAATACGATGGAAATAATACTTTAAAGAGACATAGTTACTGCAAAAATAACTGGCAATGACATTGAGTACTAGAGATTCTATGTGGGCTGGAGAAGGGAATGAAGAAACTACCTTTACTAGGGACAGATATCCGACACAAAATAGGCTCTTCAGCCAACGATGAGGTATTTCACTGTTTCTAATTCAAATATAACTGGCAATGACATTGAGTACTAGAGATTCTGTGTGGGCTGGAGAAGGGAAGGAAGAAACTACCTTTACTAGGGACAGATATCTGACACAAAATAGGCTCTTCAGTCAATGATGAGGTATTGCACTGTTTCTAATTCAAATACTCTGTTTTACAGCACAGCTGCTGCCCAAATCTCTTTGCACAGAGCGTGTTTGTAGAGACTCACAACAGAAGTTTCCCATGGGTGGCGTTCTTCACGAACAGGTGAATTTTTGGAAGTTTGATGTTGTTCATTCAAGGCATTAGGGGAAAAAGCAGTGCTTAGTTATTAGGAAATAATTATGCTGGGGAGGGCAGATGCTTAGATCACCATAAAACTACCTTCTTGTTGGTGACTTATTGTGCACTAAAGACTGAAGAAATACAGCTGTTGATTATCACTAATGAGTTTTTCTTCAGTTTTGCACTGAAATTTAAAGTGGGGAAGCTTAATTTTGATGCGTCCATTTCAGTTAATGAGTTTTTCTTCAGTTTTGCACTGAAATGTAAAGTGGGGAAGCTTAATTTTGATGGTCCATTTCAGCGATAATCTTTTTCAGTGGAAAAATAGGTTTAACTCAGCATTTTGAAAGCCAAGATTCATCGATGCCAGTATTGTGTCTCAAGGAACAGCCAGCAGATCTGGGTCCCAGAGGGCAGGATTGAACCCTATAGGGTCTTAAGGCTGAGACACTTTGTGGGCCCAACAAGCTGGCTCCAGGTCTTTTCTTCACAGCTACCAAGAGGAGCAGGACTTCTGTGTAGCCCAACATGTCCTGAGGAGGTGGCAGTAGGATACTCAGAGGTGAAAACCTCCTCTGAAAGCAAAAGAAGTGGGTCTTCCCTTAGTGGATGACAGAAAGGGAGATACAGAGAGCTGGCACCAGTGAGACACATGGCAGCAGCAGTTAAACCCAGGAGGGGAGAGATTAATGGTATGAATTAAGCTGATGCACGAGACAGCGGGAGTGCTAGGCGAAAACTTATGATACAGAGGAGAAGATTTGTTCCAGATAAACCAACCCCAGGGAGCACCAATCCTCTGTGTAGCCTTGCAACCCCGGTCCATACCGACACACATGCTGTGGATTGCATTGTGAGGAGGGCTTCCAAGAACTGTGAAGACAACTTTTTGAAATATGTCAGAAAAAAGATTTTGGTTTAGCTACAGTCTTTCTTGCTCAGGTACTCTATAAAGTGAGGACTGAGGTGGTGGTGGTCAGCACAAGACACTTAGGGAAGAGGATTGTTGAAGGAAAGTTCCCCTGACTTGCCCTCCGGCTTTCTGGCAATCACTCTTTTAACAGCTTTTCTACATTAAGGACTGCATCTGGATCATTGAGCTTAATTGTGTATCTTCTATAAACTTGTCCGGTCACCTTTTTATTTGTTTTATTTGTAGAACAACCTAAGGCGGAAAGTCCCAGGTTGCAATTATGTGCTGTTTGAAAAGTCCTTATTGTTTGTTCTCAGCGTGCTGCCTGGTAATTCACTGGATGTGCCTGGTATCATACCCAGTGAGAAATATCAGAGTATTACTCTCTTCTTTGTAATACTCATATTTTATTGTATTTTCCCTCAGTTGTCCCTTAGCATCTTAGTCTCAGGTATTTAATTTGGCGTTTGTTTCAGGCAATGAATTTCCTACCTTAGAAATTTCTTCTCTTTCATGTACTGTCAGAATGACTGGTTCATGAGGAGCATGTGTTTTTAATTCTGAGTTTTAGGCTTTGTGCATATAGATAGTGCAAGCAACATAGTTTGTCAAACCTCAGTGATGCACTGTACATAGTAAAAATAAGAAAACTGTCTGTGTTCTCATTTAGATGTATTCACTTAGGTGTTTTTGCCTTCTTTTTTTGTTTTATTTTTGTTTCCCAAAATTTGCCCCGAAGTTAGAGCAGGTTGTTTAGACTCTGACCATTATCGTGCTTCTTGAATAAATTCTTTTCTCCTAGCTGTGGGTATTTGTACTCTCCATAGCTGTGGTAGGCAAAGCAGCATGCATGTGCCAGAGACTCCTTATATCTCTTGGTTCTTTCCCAACAAGCTGCCTGTGTGATGCTCCCTGGCCCCTGTGATTTTGGGGCTTGCATGTGAGTTGTTGGTGACAAATTTTAAGCACAGTAATGTTTCACTTAGTTCAAACAAATTGACCAAGTGTTTTATTTCATAGGCATGTGAAAGCTGGAACCGAACTCACGTGGGATTATGGTTATGAAGCTGGAAGCATGCCAGAGACAGAGATTTCCTGTCAGTGTGGAGTTCAGAAGTGCAGGAAAAAAACGTTATAGGCAAAGCTTTCCTACTGTCAACATATCACGTACCTGGAGAATTATATGCTGGAAGGAACTACTACACAGCAAACAGTACACTTCAGTCTGTGGTGCTAGTTACATTCAACTGAAATGCCTTTCACCTGATCATTTTTTGAATTTACATTTTAATGTCACTTTTCTAGTTTACAGAATAAGAACTATTTGTCATAAGAACAGGCGTCAGATTTTTCCTAGGTAATTTCTGTGCTCCAAGTCTTTCCCCCCTCTTTTAATTCACAAGCAAAGTTCACAGCGCACTGGCAGAACTCGTGCTTCTGTGCCATCTGCAGCAGAGATATGACTGATGCAGGGCAGCAGTTAGTTGATGTTTTCTGTGCCCTTCCACAATGCTGAGTTAGCAAAACTCGGTTTTCTGAAACTTGGTATGAATGCAAGTGCCTGTTTGGGGGCTACAAATTATTAAAATATACCTAAGCCAGATGGATCCAATGGAGATGAGATTAATCAGAACAGTTTTGCAGAGCTGTGTTCATGCTATAAAGTGAGCTGGGCAAGTCCTGCTGCTGCAGGAGAGAAATGACTGGTTTTTGTTGAGTTGCATCTCTGTCTTTGTGACACACAGAGAAATCCTTGAGAAATTCAGTGTGCCTCATTTCAGTGCTGTGTTGTGTAGTGTGGGACAGGTGGGCCACAGGAGTCCTTGCCATGTGGTCTGTTGGTAAGAGAGAAACGTGCTACGTTAGGTGACATGTGAGTGGAAATGCAGGAGGTTGCTCTGAAATGGAGCAAGGGGTGGGTGTGCAGGTGTGTGGCCTTGAATGTGTTGGACCCTTGCGCAAAGAAGGTGGTGTACAGACGGGTGATTTAGACCACTTGAAGAACTGCTGCCAAAGGTGTCAGCAGAACTGGTTTTATTAAGATGTTGTAAAAGTGAGGCTTAACAAAGTTTGATGGCAAGGTTCACTCACTTACTGCAGAGGATATAACAATGATCCAAAGTTACCAGTACAAAAATCTTAGTGCACTATAATACAAGGTTACGTGCGATACTGGTCACTTACCAAAGATCTGCAGTTGGCAAGGGGTCTCTCAGTCTCAAGGAGTGACCTTGAGAGGTGTCCCAGCTCAAGGGGAGGTCACTGCTGTGCAGCCAGCTGCTTAGCAGAGAGACCTCAAAGGCAGCTCACTCAGGCTGTCATTTTTATGGAATAAAGTGGTTGGTGCGTAGTCAGATTACATGTGCTGAAAAAGGTAAGCATGAGACTCCTTGTACCCACAGGTTGCTTTGTTCCTCGATAAATGAGTCTTGGAAGAACCACCTGCTATTCATGTGTTAATTGCGTGGTCAGTGTTCAGTTTCCAAGCCCATATGCATCAATGCTCACCATGTCACCCTGTTCCTGTGGGGGGTTTCAGAGAACAGGGTGGAACTAGAGACGTTTTTGGCCCAGGTATGGCCAAGGCCTTTGTTTCCTTTGGAGACTGAACCAAACTACCACAAGTTTGGCCAAGGAACCGAGCGTATCTGTCACAGGTGGATTTAAAGCTGGTCCTGGAGTTCACCTTACTGAACTCATACTTTCTGAATTTGTGGGAAGCTGTGCATGACAGATCACGCAGAATTGTCTGTTGGTATTTGCCTGGCCGTTAGCTTATTTTGTTATTGGATTTCCTGTTTTACAGAGCAGAGAGAAGTACTATTTGCAAGAGTTAGTGATGATTTAGGCAATTGTATATGGGAATGAAACATGCCTGTGAGAGACTGCCATGGCCACGGAACAGAGCTTTCAAGCCTACAGCTACACTGCAAAAGGAAAGAGAAGCAGAAACCAGTTCTCAGCCCTGAGACCAAGAGGCAACAGATGGCTGATGTCTACATGGCTTAGGGTTAGTCTTTAGTTGGGTCGCAGATCTATTGTGTAGCTGTGGACAGACATGGTACCTGTGACCCTAAGCTGGTTTTTGAGTTTGTTTTGGATGCTTCAAGCTTAACAAATACGGGGTTGTGCTGCAACACACGACACTCAAATTTCTCAACAGTCTCGGCGTGCATGAGGAGTTTAAGCCTGTTAAACATGGACCTTTAACAGAGATATCAGACTTGTGAACCGTTCTGCTCACAATGAAACCTCAGCTCTTCTCTCCTATGGTCCTGTTTGAGAGCTTGGCATATCCATCAAGCAAACCCTTCTTCAGCTTTTGTCCAAGTTGTCACACTATGGGCTTGTGTGTGGTTTCATCATGCGTCTTCGGGGTTGAATGCAGAAGAGCAGGGTTACCCCCAGTGCTGGTGCAGTACCCCTTGAAAGGGTCAGAGCCATCCATTCTTGTCCGGATCAGTCCCCTTCCATCACTGAGGAGCACCACCATGTTATCAGCAGCCAGCATTCAGCTCAGTTGCTTCTTGCCTCATTGAAGATCTGCCTCTACTCAGAGGGAATATGCCTTAGGCTAATGTGTGATGTAAAAACCTCCAGAGGCATACAGAATGGCGTGGCAAGCCCACTGATAACCCAACACCAGTGTAAGCCTTTTAAACAAGAGAGGATGTGGAAAATATCTGTCTCCAAGCTCAACTTGAATGTGGAAAAGCAGATGGGAATGACAGTAAAGCGCCAAGGGGAAAAAAAAGTACATTTTACTGCTGTTGATTGTATTTCCCAGATCTGTGGTAGGAATTACAATACTGAGCTGGTGAGGAAAAGCTGTTTCTTGCTGCAGAAAACAGACCTGATGTTTCAAAAGATAAAGCACTTGCTCTGCGTGGTCTGCAACTATCCAAAAGCCTGCTGTCAGCGTGAATTTTACAGTATGTATGTGAATGAGATGGGGCTTTTTGCTGCCTGTGTTTATCAGGTCTATCTTCAGGCTGGTGCTTCTTCGCTTTCCTCTCCACATGAGGATACACTAGATAGAGAGAGAGGTTGTAACCCAGCTTCTTTCCAGTCCCCTCACAGTCTGATGCTTTCACTGCTTGTGAATCCATTGTAGCAGACCAGCACTCATAACCTATCCTCTTGAAAACTTACCTTACGGGGTATGTTTTCCACCTGCTTTTGTAATTTTATTAGAATGGGTTCTGCTGAAGGTGTCTGGCAAATACCCTCTGCAGATAATGGCTGTGCCAGTTCAATAGACAATGTGAGAGTGCTCCTCTGAACTTGTTCTCTGCTCAGCTACTTGTTCCCCTGCTTACCCTGACACAGCTCAGAAATGGGCGTATTTCTGAACATAGCCCCTTGTGCCACCCATGCTTTAGCAGAATTTCATGTAAAAGCACCGAGAACAAGCACCGACAGAAGAATAGGTGAAAATGTTCCAAGAGAAACACTCAAAATCACCTGTGGAATGACACATTCGGGATTTCTCGTCAGCCTGTCAGGGGTATCAGAAGAAGAGTGCCTGATGAGAATTAGTTGCATTGAGATGTGAAACAGAGCTCTGGAGATGCCCTAAAATCACTGTTTCTGTTGACCTGCAGGGGAGCGTAGGTTTTACAACACTGATGGAGGACCAGCAGAGGGGAATTCTGAAACCAACTGAGGCTTTTTCAGGGTGGTACCTTGTTCCTGTGAAATGGTGTCGTCCAGCCACGCAGTGTGGAGATTGCTGACTCTTACAGTGAGCAGGACAGTGAGCAAGACTGTCCCAACGGAGGGTCAGCAGGGATGTGTATAAGGGCTCCATGACCTACAGGGAAATATATATATATTCGCACCCAAGGTGAGTATACAAATGCAAAGATAGCTGAAGGATCACCTATGGCATAGGTATACAAGAAATTGGACTGGAGCATGTTACACTGATGTTTTTTTGGTTTTTTTTTGCTAAAGAATTACTGAGCACTAATTCCAGCTCCACCTATTTCAGCAGAACTATATGGCTCTGTAGAGCAGTGGTGTGGAAGAAGAGATCGCAAGGCATTTGCAGTTGGTTTTCCTCTGCAGATAATTATTTTTTCTGTGTTGAAGAATAGACTTGTGTTAGGAAAATTTTCCTAGTTTAAGACTTATGCACCTGTGAGGGTGCTTGAAACCAGTTGGCTCGTTCAAGTACCATCTAGATAATAGATTCAGGAATTGGTGTTGCATAGCAGCATCTGGCTAATTGCTATGATGTAATTGCAAGCCTGGACAGAGGGGCTGACCTTAGCTCTGAAGTGCTGTGTCTGGGCAGGCGCAAAGGGATTTGGGAAACAAGCTGGAATAACGCCAGCAGTGCTGAAAAGCCAAAGCTTCTCTAGCTGGTAAAGGGAACAGATTGAAAAATACTTCCTGTTGCGTTCGGTGTGGTGTCCCGGTGGGCCAGAATGCGCCTGTTACGTTGTGGCTGGTGAGCGGTGTGGGGGTGGAAATACTGGATTTGTTTAGTCATCCCACGCAATGCAGAACTTTACGTAGGCTTAAACCTTGCTCTTGCTAGCACAATTTTGCCTCAAACCTTGAGACACCAACATTTGAAGAGCTTGCAGAAACACCACAGTTCTCTGAAGCAAGAAGAGGAAATCTCTCGGTGGTGTGTGTTGTGTTGAGACCTGCATAGCCACGAGCTTCTCCCAGGACTGCTCACGCTTGGCGGTTAGGTGGTGCAAGCTCCTCAGCTCTTTACAAGGGCAGCGGGAGGGCATCAGGCTACGTATGAACCGTCAGGCTTACAAGCGAGGAAGCACCAGCAAAGTCCCACGGCAAGGAGCTGGCATGGTAGGAAGTCCGATATCCCTGGTGGCCTGAGGATGAGCCTGTCCTTGACCTCCTGAGCAAGGAAAGTGCTGACCAGCAGCGCTGGCATGCTCTGGTCCTCTGGTGAGCGCCATGATGGCTGGGTATGAAGCCAGAGCGCCACAGCCACTTCTTCCTCCGCTGTGGAGGGATTGACTGAACAAAGGGCCTTGTGGGATGGCTGTGGGAGGCATGCCACCTTGTCCTGGCCTTTCCTGCCCATCTCTTGAATTGGCTGTTTGGTTAGATGTCACCCTGCCAGCCCCACACTGGGCACTCAGCGCGACCTCCCCATCG